TGGAACTGGATGGTCTTTAAGGCCCCTTCCAACCCAAACCATTCTGTGATGTCACTCTGGTTTTGGTGGTGTATTTTTTTTTTTCCCTTTCTTTCTTGTGAGGGATGTCTTTTGCAGCCTGTCACGCAGTCGTGGCAGTCTTTTTGCAGAATGGCAGCAGGAAGAGAGAGGCTTTGTTAGCCTGTGATTCACCTCATTCATAGGCATTTACATCTGGTGAGATGATGCTCACCAGTGAGTGCTGCATACCCAGCACTGACAGGGGTCATAAGGCAGCTATATAACATGTAGATGTTAAGATGTCAAAAGGTAAGATGAATCCTGCCCTAATAGCTTACTAATATGATCAGGAACCATGCAGATGAATATAGTTAGTATTTATGAAGTTATAGAAACTTGATTTTTTTTTTTTTTTTGGTGTGTGTGAAAACTATATAAAATGATCTATAAAGTGATAGAAATAACAGAACTTGAATTTAATTCTGCAAAAATCTGTTACTCCATTCTTTTCAACAGGTAATTATTCTTGGGGCATCTACCCGGAACTGAATTCTGACACTCCAGTAGAAAACAGTCTGCTTCCCAGTTCAGTTTATTCTGAGTCTCCACCTGCTGATGGAAAGATGAAAGTAACTGTATTACAAATAACAATGGCTTTGGGGAGCCTAAAGAATATTTTCACTCCTCTCCTGTTCCGGGGACTCCTGTCTTTCCTCACGTGGTGGATTGCTGCTTGCCTCTTTTCTACAAGCCTTTTTGGGCTTTTCTATCACCAGTACCTGACTGTGGCGTGAACCAGTCAACTGTCAAAGTGAGAGTGAGGTCAAGTGCTAGATACAAACCCAGGTACCCGAGAGGGGATGAAGAGAAAAGAAGAAAACTAAATATGAAGAGAAAACATATCAGAATTTTTTTCAAACACTTCCTCTGTGTTCTCAGGGTGAATATTCTTATAATGTTTAAAATGGCAACTGGGTTTGTTGTTTTTGTTACCCAAATGGTAGGTGACTAATTGCATTATAGTATTGGGACTGACTGACGTTGTTGTGTCGCAGGTGGTGGTGAGTGTGCTGAAAAGATAGGACCTCTGAGTGTCTTGGTTTCCATAAACAGCAAGCCAACCTCAAAACTTTGTGTTTTAAGCATCAACAGTCGGTGACTGAACTGTTAGAAGGGTACTAGTTGTAATGATGGTGGCTGCCTATCGATTATATCTTGAAACTGAGCCATACAATGAAAGGAGACAGGGGATTCAAAACATTCTGTTGGATAGCTACCGATCACTTTTCTCCATGAAAAATGAAATAATCCAACAGGACAAAAAAGATGCTGTATATTACAGTAAGGAGAATTGTATAAAATTTAAATTTAACAGGAATAGATGTATGGACCTGTCAGGTATTGCTGCCTAAATATTTTTTTTTTTTACAGTAAGAGGAGAGTTATAAAAAATATATTATTTCAGTTCCTGCAGTTCTTTTAAAGTAATGGCCATCTGTATTGGTGCTAATATTGATCCACAGATTCCATTTGGATCTTTTAAATTTTGTCAGGTAATAGGTAAATTCCATTGAATTCACAAAGTAATAGAAGATGATTAGTGACACCAATCAAACACTTCAAAACAAAACGGTTTAATCCTGCTGACTGAGAGTGTATGTATCTGTGTAATGTACATATAAATATATATTATATAT